TGTATGCATAATGCACTTAGACGATAATTCTTTTTTTGATAAAAGCGTTTTGAAATTATATTAAGCCAATCGTATATGAGTTAGGCAAAATATTCGCCAGAATTTCCACAGGCGATGCAGCATTGGAATTTCTATTTGGCTCAGTTTTGGACTCCCTGCTCTCATATCACACGTCATATGGGAATTCGACTGGATTTTTTCGTCTTATGGGCAATTTGCTCAAAGTTTACCCGGTATCATTCAGTAATCCGTTTTGTCCATATGTTATCTTTCATCCTTGACAAATATCCAACTCTCTGGCAAACACTGCCCTGATAATATCGCTTATCCCAAATCGGAACTGTAACACTTCACTGAATATGCTTTTGCAAGTTACTGAAGTTTAATATGGGTGATTTTAGAATTTTTTGGCTCACTCGCTATCTTGTGCTCAGCAGGTATAATATTCCGTATTTTGAACAGAACTGGTTAAACAGTGGAACTGAAAAGTAGAGTCGGCCTATCGCTTCCTCTTGTAGCTGATATTATCTCGCTTCCTAACTCATAACTTAATGAAAGCTATCCATTTTGCGCTTTTTCTTCATGCTCAAATCGTTGCTGTTTGTCTCATGTACATTTAGCTGACTTAAATCTCCATGGAATTCCTTTTGCAGATCGAGTTTTTACGTTCATTCCTTTGTTCTGCTTTTTCGTTCCATTTCCTTTTCTCCTTTGTTCTTTTTCTGGAAAAACCAGTACTCGTAAAATATTTGCTGGATTTATCCAGAAAAGAGCAAGTTTCAACCATTTTGACAGCATATGGTGCATAAGGGACAAAAAAACAGATTGTGTCGCCTTTTTTGCAAAAATTGCATTAATTATGATAACAAATATATTTATTACAGGTATTTTTATTATTAATGCAACAGTGAGTACAGCCCCACAATGGCGATGTCTTATTATCCGACCGAAAAAACACAATCCGATTCTGTATGTTTGCTTTTTCTCACTGCATTTAAATGTTTTAAGGAAAAATAAATGCAAAAGAACTGGTGACAAGCATACAGAAACTCTTGGAATTGTCAGAAAAAAAATGAATACTTAAAGTTTGGTCAGTCGCAATATTTGACGTGGTTCTCGAACCGTGCAGCTGGCAACTTTTCCATTGCAATGAACACAAGGTCATCTGGCGGTCAGCCTGCTGGCAATCCTGGCTTTCGTCCAGTCTCAGCAAAAAAGAGCTGATAGGGTGGAAGTGTTTAATTGCTTAATTCCTTGTACGAGATTAATTGGTTAATTAGTTATAAAAAAGCTATCTAAGGAGCAACTTCTACCAACAATTTTTGGGTAAAAATTCAATTAACAGTTTTCGGGTGTTAGCATTGCTTGTTATCTGAATTTCAGCTAGCGTGTTGAATATCAGCTGATGTCTACCTCTGCTATTATCTTTCTTGCATGTGCTTTTTTTTTTACAAGTTATAAATCTATCCACTTCAACTGCCCACGAAAAAAGACGCTGAGTACGACTAGAAGTATGCAGCTCAAGATTGAAAAGTTCGGCGCAGCTGTGTCTAGCTTGTGAGAACGTGACATCACTAACATAGGATACTCTCAGTGTTTACCCCGGCGGGCTTGATATGCACTGTTTTTTGGAGGCATGAAGCATAGTAAAGGAGGCGCGCCTGGCACCAGTTACTTTCCGATGGTGTAGCTTATCAGTCATAATGCAGCTTCGCACTTACGCTCTAAAAATTTTTTATTGTTGCTTATTTCCAGCCTGAGCTGACGTAGCAAAGAACGTATTTCTGGGCCATTTAGAGAATACAACTTTAAAAAAAAAAATTGAGAGCGAAAGATTTATCAGGCAAACAAATAATATTAAAAGTTTAATAAAACTGTTTGGATTTCCAGTTTTTTGTTCGATAACAAAATTTTTTATTTATTAGTAGTACTTAAAATCTCGTCAAGCGGTCCTGTCAAAAGAGCCGTTCACTACGTTAGTAATCAGTTGAGGAGACGAAACGAACACCTCGTCACCCGTAGAGTGACCAGCCAACGATGTTGAACTGGTCAAAGCACAAATGTTTTCAGCTACGTAGTTGAGGAACTGCGCCATAGCTGTTCAGTACCAGAGTAATTCATAATTTTCAGGACGTGGCAGATGGTATCTTTGCATCAATGTCCAAGCACTGGCCATTTAATCTTGCCGAAAAAACCAAAAAGTTAGCCAATCACAAATTTGTTATTTAAAGAAAATGAAAAAAAAAAAAACAAATAGTTACTCACGGAGCATTTCTCGAACTCATTTTGTTATTTGTTCACTTGTTCACTCATCCGTTTGTTTACAAACCTAAATGTGTGTTGAGACTGACTGACTCCGCAGCAAATGTCCTACTCGTCGGGCTCTCTGTACAAATTTGTTCCTCATTCTCAAACAAAAGCTGAAAAGCCAATACTACTTATTTTCTGTAAAAATATACATTTCTGAAAATCAAAAAAAAAGTTGGAAATTTGAAAAAGAAATTATCTGTACGTTTCGGATTTTTTGAAATCATTAATTTGTAATAATGATAATGAAGCTCACTGCCACCTACACAAGATGTCCTGGAAGCAAATCGCTTAAGATTTTGCAAATACGGATAATTTATCGCTGCTAAGATACTCGAAGCCATATGTTATAGAACCGGCGAAAACACTACTTTCATTTATATAATAAATGCCATTTCCTCACAGAACACCCGGTGTGAGGGACCCATTTTAGTGATATTACTGAGAAATGCTTTATAAGCCAAGCTAAGTTGTCTGAAGCAACTATTTTAAAACATGAGAAAACGTAATTAGCACTAATGTTGTTTTATATTGCTTATTTTTGTGATAAACAAAACTTCATCAAATGCGAGAATATCATTGTTCCTCTTAGAGCCCTCACTCGCCATCCTGGCTTGGTAAGCAATCATATATTATCACTTACAGTAACTTTGCTTGCAGTTTTGTAACAAATCGAAGGACGAAAAATATTCAGCAGCTTCATACTGTTTCTGAAAAATCGGTATGTTTTTTTTTTGAGAAATTCTGCAAATTTTGGAGAAGTGACAGTAAAAAACCCTAGAATGGATATTTTTTTTAGATACTTGAATTACCTATGATTGGTAGCTTGATTTTTCAACTGTGCAACTGGCAATTTGTTATTCGGTTTGTCCGGTGTTGTGTCTTTTGGCACGAGAAATCCTGATTCTCACTCCGTCCCCTCATTTTTCGGTTTTTGAAAACGAATCGGAATACATATTGCACGGAAACAAATTACATTATTTCGGATTGAGATTCCTAAAAAAAAAATGCAACGCAACTCCGTCAATGAATTTTAATTTGTACAGATATATCTGATTAGCAAAACTTTTTACAAAGTCCTTTCTTTTCAAAATTTTTCTTTTTTTTGCAGGATGTATGTTTTTTGAAAAAGAAACGTTGGCAAATAGCGCTGTTGGCCAATATTGGGTTTATCATTGCTTTTGGAATTCGCTGTAATTTTGGTGCTGCAAAGGGGCGTATGATAAATAATTTTACCGATCCATTTGGCAATAATCACGTTAGTATTCAGACTATACAAATGCTTAGCAGAGAATGCTAAGGTTTTCTGATATTACTGAAATTTTTCCAGGCAGCAGATCCAAGTTTGCCAGAACCTGAGTTTTATACCAGTTGGTTCCTAGCGAACAAAGCTCCTTTTTATTAAAATTCCCCAGAAGGGAATTGAACCAGTCATTTTCATATCTGGATACGACGTGTCGACGTGTCAGACTACTGCACCACTAGGCCATGCACTTGCTGGAGCACCTATATTCTTTATTTGTAGTACTCGTATACGTGTTCTGTATCATATGACTGCGCATCCTGTGCAGCACACTCTTTTAACAATTGCCGGCTTTTCGCGGGAGTTTCGCAGCACAGTACTCCCTGCTTATTCAATACCTGTGCACCTCTTTTTCGATCCCAACTTTCCTGATGCGTTCACGCATTGTTAACTCAGATGGCTTTCAGACTCAAAAATTTTACTGGTCGCCAACGGAACTTGGTGTAATGGAAAGTGCCTTTTTTTATGGCTATGCAATCACACAAATACCAGGCGGTATGCTTGCCGCAAAATTTGCTCCGAATTTGTGAGTTTTTTCACAGTTCTAGGCTTAAGAAGATTTTATTCCAGGATTTTCCTTTAAAAAAACGCAATTTCGCATATTCCAATTTTGATTTTAGGACAGGCTCAAATAAATGCATCTTTAATTTCCATGGGATATTGGTACTTCTTATTGACTTCTGCCTTCAAAAGATAACTGATAATTTATTCAGTTCTAGTTCATAGCCTGAATCCCTAACTAACCAGCTATTTTTGTTGCTTTGTCCAGTGTTCTGTTGCGCTCTTAAAGCCCACTTCAATTAACAAGACTCTTAAAGCCTACTTAATTCGGCAGTCCTCCTGAAAAAATCAAAGCTTAGTCGTCCCGAGGTGTTGTTTCCAAACCGTGATAAAGCATATTGTTGACCAGGAGCATATAATATATTCAGAAATAATACCTTAAGCACCTAGGTAGTCAGTGGGGGTACACCACGTGAATGAAGTTACTGGGATGTCTTCGTACACCGGATGCAGCTGTGTCAAGCTTTTTGATCTTGAGCAGCATAGTTCCAGTTATTTTACATCGTCCATTCGATGTGTGTTTGCCACCTCTTTCTCGAGACCGTCTGAGTAATCTTTTGCCTTCTCTCGGGTGCCATTCATCAGGACGCAAAGTTTAGAAATAATATTACAGATTATTTGGATTTTCTATTCTAATAGCTGCCATACTTAATTTATTCCTCGCATTAGCACTTACTGCTCATCCATATACGGATTTCGTTGTTATTGCCATACAAATATGTCAAGGTCTTTCATTGGTAAGCTTTGTTGTTATTTTCTTTGTGAAAAAAAAATAAATATAAAAGTAAATCCGTGCCGCTTTTAGCTTGCTCCGAGAATTACCCTCAAAACTGACGAGTAGCTTTGACGAAATGTTCAGGCTGAGCATGATCGGCTGTTTCTTTTTCGAAGAAACAAAAGAAGCCGAATCATTTTGTAAGTAACACACCAGGCATAGACAAACAAAATCCAGTCCTGGAATTTCCCTTCTCCCCGCTCTCTTCCCCCTCCCAGCGGTACGTCGGAAAATGCGTTGCAGCCAAATCTACCTGATAGAACCTGGCAATCTGGGAATTTAGTCCTGAGCAATGCTAACTGTTTGTTGTGAATCTAGGGTGTAAGTTATCCTGCAATGCATGGTGTCTGGAGACACTGGGCGCCACCAATGGAGCGATCGAAGCTTGCAACAACGACATTCACTGGTGGATACCTCGGTGTGATGATTGGCTTACCGCTTTCGGCTTATCTCGTTTCATACATCGACTGGTCTGCACCATTTTACTTTTTCGGTAACTCCTTTGATTGTAACCAATCCGATACAGTATAAAACAGAGCAATGCCGTCATCAGCTTCCTTGTAAACAACCCTAGAGTGAGAGATTCATTGTTAATCTCGCCAGTGGATGGCTGATGTTGGCATTTGCTACTCTTCGAATACTTCTGAGGGTCTTCGCCTTTTACAAAATCCGAGTGAGGAGGATGGTTTTGACTTTTGACTTTAATAAAGTGTGCCCGAGGACAAAGTGAAAAGTTGTAAGCAGATAACCGAGTAGAAGTAAATAAGTAAAAAGAAAAGATATTTAAGAATAGTTTTATAAATACAGATAACTGTTAATAGAGTTCAAATTTGAAGGTAAATTTTCAAAATTTTTTTGTTTTGGGCCTCGAGAAGTCTTTTCCATCGGTAGAAACCATTCCCTCTGCGATTCACTTGTTATTTTTTTGATGGTACATTGGCACCAACTCACGTCAAAAAGTTACACACATCATCTGCTTGCTTCTAAGCAACTCCTCAGAAATTAAGAGCCACCGATAGCTTTGCAAGTGAGTGGTTGTGTTAGCGCACGCTGACACCTCGGCTACTTCCAGATGCATCGGCCTGTTATGTGAATGAAGAAATTTTGACTTTTGGTCTCGAGCATGAAATTTTTCATGAGTTCGCAGGAAACTTTTTTGTTAACTGTGCAGATTTTTGACCTCCAAATTTTGTTTACCTCATCCGTATCGTAGGCACCACTAAGTAATTTTGATTTTTGTTCCCAAAGGACTCTTTTAATCTATCAAACTTTCCCCAGGTATCGCTGGAATTTCGTGGTTTTTGATTTGGTTTATGGTCAGTGCGCCATCTCCTGAAAAAAGCAAATCGATCTCGGATGATGAGAAACGCTTCATTGTCGAACAGCTTGGACAAATTTCTTCATCACCAGCAACGGTCAGTTTTACGATAACGTGAATTTACAATAACAATAATTCGCGTTTATGCACAGTAAAGAAAACGAAGGCATAAAACACTAAGTATGAGATGCAATGATCAAGTAACAGCAGCAATTTTCAAAACAAAATGCTGATGCTCAACATGCATGAAAGAAATCTCGAAATGACCAAAGGCCTGCTAAAGAGCTTCTCTACGAGGGGCTGCTAAGTTGGTAATCTCTTCAAGAGACGAATGGAGGCGTCAGGACCGCTAGCAGTAGGCTGACCACCGGGCAATGCAACACTGGTCAAAAGAACTGAAAAAGCTGCCAATAGCATAGCTAAAGAACTAGCCTATGTAGCTGGTCAAAGTGACTAAGCACATACTGTTTATTAATACAGCTGCTTGCGTTTGGCATGATGTAGAGCCATTTTCGATGGTCAGTAAAAGTATTTGCAGCTAACAACAATTCCATGGAAGCAAATTTTGCTCTCGTTACCTGTGTGGGCTATTGTTATTAGCAATTTTTGTCGTTCCTGGACATTTTTCCTGTTGTTGGGCAACCAGTTGACCTACATGAAGGATGTGCTGCATGTTGAAATACACAACGTAACATTTTATTTCAATTTTTTACTAGTACCAATGGCCGATCATGTAAAAATTAACGCCTTTTGCTTCCCCTTGCACCCTCCGTTCCTTTTCCTTTGCTTTTTTCGAAATAAAGATCCGTTCGGTCATGCGCAGTTTCTTTTCGATTTCCGTAATTTTCGTCCTTCCTCTGGTTCCTTCCTTTTACCACCCTCCCCGCCTTTCCGGTTTTCACGGAATCAACTCCAGCAGTAATTAAGCTGTCGCTGATTTTTTGGATTTTCAGTATGATTTTGGGAGCTAAATTTTTTTTACAAATCAGAAAGCACTCTCAACGCGTTCCTCTAATTCCATTTGTGGAGACGTGCCTACTCATCACCTGTGCCTTTATGGGACCATCCCAGCAGCATTTCTAATTTGGAATGCCCACGACGGCTGATTTGATGGTGTTGGTAATATCGGTTCTTTTCCGAAGATTCCAGGAAATCGAGATTTTCTAAAAAAGAGGAATTGGAGTTTTCTTTTTCATTATCAGAAATGGGTTTTATTTCTCGCCTTGCAGGGTGGTTTGATTTCATCTTTACCGCATGCTTTGATGTCGGTGGTGGTGTTGGCATCTGGACAGTTAGCTGACTATCTTCGCTCTACTGGTAAAATGTCAACTCAGATGGTCCGTAAAGTCTTTAATACACTTGGTTTGTCCCTTGATTCTAATTTCCAATATTCTTGATGAAGTATTCTAATTTTCAGTATTTTTGATGCGCTTTCAGAAATTAAGCAAAGTGAAAAGAAAAGTTTAAGCATCGGCTAGTGGCAAGTTAATAGGACAGGAACATTCGTTGCTTTTTACAGCAAAATGGCGCTAAAATCGTGAGAGGACTGACAGTTTTATTAGAGGAAAATGACCGTTAAAACCATCTCCGAATGGTTTTAACGGAATGGTTTTAACTGTATCTCATCGTAATCGGGGACTAAGAAGATTCGAGACTAGTTGGCGATATGCAACACACATCGCTGACATCTTGAAGCCGAAAAATGCCTCCATCGAAAGGACCTTTGAGCTTGTAATTTCTTCTGGCGGACTCAAGTTCGCCAGCAAGCTGACCATCAGGTCGAAAGATTCGTCTAAACAGCTGAAAAAAGTATTAGCAGTATAGCTTGTGAACCACGCTATGAATTGCAGCTGGTCGAACTATTTGGCCAATAGGACATGGAATTCAGTTGAGGGTCAGCAATTAGGAGTTGAAGATCACTGTATTAAATTTTTTGGGAAAACTGTCGATAAAATATGACGCAGTAAAAAAGAGTTACCTGAAGCATATCAGATCTAGAACTAGTCTGAAAAAACTGCACTTTATTGATTTAGGAGTGCAAAATTTGGAGAAAGGGAACCAATTTTTCAGGCCTTTCTCATTCGTTTTCTGAGCTCTTGTATCACTG